AGAGTTACAGACTCTCTCCCAGACCACAGACTCATAATACAAGTCAGAGCAAAAAAAACATAAAAAATAGTTGTGTTTTCAAAATTGGAGTTCAAGTTATTTTTACTTCCAATAGTGTTAACATGCTACACATGTCATGAACAAGATTTTTAAATTTCCATTGTAAGTGGGCTAAAGCAGTTAATTAAAAGTCATCTAACATGAAGTTTGTTCAAAAACTGCTTCTCAGATTTGTTTGTTTTCTAGAGAGCAAATGATTTCAGAGCGATCATTTTGCACAGTACCTGCAGAGTCATCAGTCACTGTATTTTCTGTACAATGGTATATTAATGTCAGCCTGATGTTTTTTACTCATTTGCATCAGTGGCATTTAAACGTTCATTCTTCATTGCTCTTGTTTTGTCGATGTGCAGATGTTGCTTTAGAGTTAAGCAAATATGAAGTCTACAAGTTTATATTTGATCATATACAAAATCACATCAGACTAAACTATGGTCACACAACACCATCTCGTGTGTTTACCTTCAAATGTTCTGTTCCACATACGTGAGGTGATCTCTGTCCCATTCTTCTTGCTGTACCCGTTTTTCATGGCTTCATGCAAGGCGATGGTATACAGTAACAGGGCATCGTGGAACCCCTCAACAAACATGTTGACCTGACATGAAACAAATTCATGAAGTGACTGCGCTGTTCACATAATCACGATGCTTTGTATACATTTATCTTTTGAAGAACTGACAGATTATATTATCAGTTTACTCAAAATGCAAATGGACTGATTCTTATATAGAGCTTCTCTCCCACAGTACTCAAAGCTTAATACAACACACAACATTCACACAGCACTTTCTTCTATGATTTTAAGTGCTTACTAAACTAACATTCATACTGCGATGGACACATCAGAGAGAAACTTAATGTCTTGCCCAACGATAGTTGACATGCAGACTAGGGGGAGCCAGGGATCGAACCACGAACCTTCTGATACAGCCACACAAAGAGACTAAGTGTAAGTTTCTTGATGCACAATCATCCAGGTAAGTACATCCCAAAAAGTTGATTCTGTTCATCTGCATCTGTTTTCAGTGGAAAAACGTTCCATCACTCATCCAAGGGACTTCTTCAGTGACTGAAACCAGCCCACTGAATGAACAGTGGACTCGTTTCATTCGTTGTGCAAATGTCCTATTTATAAGGTTGGAAACCTGCAGTCAGCTGAGACTAAAGAAGTCACCTGCATGAGTGTTGAAACGTTTCTCCTACTGAAAACATCCAATTATTTCTCTTGGTGGTTTTATTATGTAGTCTTAATCTAATTTTAGAACCTCTGTAAAGTATCCCACTTTAGGAATTTTCTGCAGTTTAACTTTTAAATAGCACTGCGATGTAAAACATGTTTCTGCTAGTCTCTGAAAGAAGTGGTACACACCATTGTATGAAATCTTGCTGCCCCTGGGGCTAAAACTGGAATTCTGGCTCCATAAGTGAGTTAATTCCCACTCCCATGATATCATGGTCCTTGGTCTTTGACCAAGTATCTTTAGTTTTATTCTGGACTTGTGTCTTAGAAAGTTATTAGATAATGAAGGTTCTAATTCTTAAATATGTTATTTTTTTCCTGCATGTGTTTGTTATTTATATTTCTTGATTTTTGTTGCTTTATTTTAGTTCCTCTTTTGTGTCCAGAGTGTCTCATCTCTGTGTTCCAGTCTCCAGTGTTGCTGATGGCCGACAATCAGCTGCAGAAAAGAACAAAGTTATAACAAACAAAGGTTGAAGTGAGAGACGACTGCAGCCTGTCTGTACTGTTCATGTCGTATATTCTTTATGTGGCTTTTTTTTTTTATTTTTGGCTTAAAAAACAACACAATTTGTTTTTTTGACTTTTTCCCAATTTGAACTTCCCTAAAACCTCTGACATATATGGAAATAATGTTTGGGGTTTTACTCACCAGTTTGACGTACTTGGTCTGAGGGTTTCGTCTAATTGTTGGGGTTATCTGTATTATTGTAGGATCTTTACCTGGACGGGTTTTTGTTGTGGTTTGACACTATATAAATAAAACTGAATTGGAATAATCTTAACAGCAGCTTTAGTGTGAGCTAATGTACTAAACTGCTATTTAACACTAGTCATATATTATTCTAACCCTGGAAAAGTCCTGTAAGGTTCCAGTTATCACACATGTTTTTTTAGTTCTGTTCACTTGACCCTCCAAAGTCACTGCCTAAACCACCAGATATGAGGCAAACATATCAGCATTTACGATTCAGTTTTCTTATCCTTACACTTCTTTGTTTTAGTCTGACATTGATAGACATACTTACATTTTCACAGTCGTTGCAGTCATGAAGCCCTACTTTTTCAAAAGGCATTTTCATTTCTAAGGAGAAGTTCTCAAACTCAGGCTTGACAGTTCTCAGAAGAGTCACAGTGTTCAGAGCGGCGTAGGCTTGCCTTGCATCGTTGTCGTATTCATCACCTCTCTTCCATGAGCCATTGCCTAGAATTTAAGTTTCCAGGGACAAAAAAACCTACATTTACCAAATAATTTACAAATGTAATGCTTTGCTTGTTACAGAGCATACATTTACATACAAACCCCATCAAATTGAACCTGTGAAGTAGAACTAAGAACTGCTGAGAGTCTTTCTTTAATCGTTTCACATCTACTGATGCCTCACAAAGAAGAGAACTTGTGCTAGATCAATAAAATTGAATTAAAGTGAACTAAAGTAGTCTGCAATTATTCTAATTTGAATGAATTAAATGGGTAATGTCACTAATATCCATCCATTTATCCATTTTCTTCCACTAATCCAAGGCTGGGTCGCTTGGTCAGCGGCCTGAGCAGAGAAGCCCAGACCTCCCTCTTCCTGGCCACCTCCAGCTCGTCCGAGGGAACACCAAGGCATTCCCGGGCCAGCCAAGAGATATAATCTCTCCAGCCTGTCTTGGATCTCCCACAGGGCTTCCTCCTGTGAGACATGCCTGGACCACCTCAAACAGAAGGCACCCAGGAGGCATCCTTGTGAAATTACCAAACCACCTCAACTAGTTCCTTGTGATGTGGAGCAGCAGCGGCTCCTCACCCTCTCTAAGGGGAGGTAACTCGTCCCTTACCCGGAGCCTCACGAACGCAACGACCACTTCAGACTAAATGATGTTGTTTTTGTGCTTTTTATCACACATCAAGTTACTTTTTGCACAATGCTCAGTCTTTATGTAGTCCTGTGTTGATTGTCTGTTGTATGTAGCACCATGGCTTCGGAGGAACGCTTCACTGTGTACTGTACCACTGCACATGGTTTTACTGACAATAAAGCCACTTGACTTGAGTGGGCACTCCATCATTTTCCGTCTGAGGACCATGGCCTCAGATTGTAGGTGCTGATTCTCATTCCCTCACGTATCCACGAGAGGATAAAGAGCTGGACCAGTATTCTCTGACTGGAACAAAAACTGCATTGTTTCTCCTGTATCCGAGGTTCGACTAACAGACGTAATCTCCTTTCCAGCACTGTGACATAGACTTTCCCAGAGAGGCTGAAGAGTGTGATCACCGTATAGTTTCAGCACACCCTCCAGTCCGTCTTCTAAAAGATGGGAACCACCACCCTGGTCTGCCAGTCCAACGTACCACTCCTGATCGCCATCGTAGAGGTGTGTCAACCAAGACAGCTTTACAACATCCAGAGCCGTCAGGAACTCAGGGCGACTCTTATCCACCTGAGGAGCTCTGCCACCAAGGAGTTGTTTAACTGCCTCAGTGACCTCACTCCCGGTGATGGACGAGTCGACCCCCTCGTCCCCAGACTCTGCTTCCTCTACAGAAGACATGTCAGTGGTATTAAGGAGGTCCTCAAAGTATTCCTTCCACCGCCCGAATCCTCAGTTGAAGTCAGCAGTGCTCCACCAGCACTTGTACCCCTCCTGAGTCGCCTGAGTTTGCCAGAAACTCTTCAAGGCAGTCCACAAGTATTTTTCCATTGCCTCTCCAAACTCCTCCCACACCTGAGTTTTTGGTTCAGTCAGTACCTGCCTCTGAAGTCCAACAGGCTAACCAAGCCCGATGGGACTCCTCCTTCAGCCCAATGGCTCCCTTCACCTTTGTCCACCTGGTTTGGCGGTTACCACCACGCTGGCACCAACCACCTTGCATCTTATTTTCCGCACACTTGGAAGGAGAGGTGCAATCTGCAACTTTACCTCTATTTTCCATTTAAACGTATACAGAAATGCACCGCCTTACTTAACTGGTACACACTTTAACAAACCTTGACAGACAATGCCAGTGCTTTCTAATAATTATTTACCTTAAATATGCATGTTAGACACATTTAAGGTAATGGATGTCAACTTACCATAAGAAGAGGAATTAAAGAGTTCAACATTAAAGAATATGCATTTGCCAGTTGTCATCTGTCGTTTGTGTGCAGCCAGCATGATCTCTCTTATTTTTTCTGCTCCCATGCACATAATCACCACTGCAGAGAAAACCAGACAGAGACAAGAAGTCATTTAATAGGCTCATCAGTTTATTTGGACACAATACGTTATGAAAAGGGAAAATTAATTTGGGTAAGCGTTAGTGTAATTTACATTAAAAGATAACCCAAGCTCCACAAATATAATAACAATTCAGTGAGATTCACAGTCGGGTGGGTGGTGTGGTTTTGCCACACTTTTTTTCACACAGTCATCAAATAATCGTAGTTCCTGACAGATTTTCATTCCAAGCACATCAGATATTGAATGCATGTAATTTACTGTGTAGCCAGTTACAATCGTTCTTGATGTGCAGGTTAGTGCTGCACAATAGCATCAAACCCCACACATGCCAGATGTCCTTCTTTTTTGAGGAGCATATCATGTTAATCAAATTCTAACACACATACCTCACATAGCTTCAAATGATGAAAAGAACCATCAAAGTGAAAACAGTAAGAAATTTACCACAAGCCTATCTCCAGCACAGCTGCTGATAATTATTACTGTAAGCATCAGGCCTGATGTGCACGTATACACGAGCGCTCTGTGGACTATTTCCAACAGTGTGTTGCTGGTTGCACAAAATGTAACCCGTGGATGTGTGGTGTGTAATCCTGGACGCACGTCACCCTGATTAGAGCCTGCAGATGGAGCAGATACTGGACCAGCTGCCGTCAGAGACAGCTGGCTAAAGCTAATCAGCTGATAGACTCCGTGCAGTGTGCTGCTTCTGGGCCACATTGGCACAATCAGTGCTGTTACTTAAACTGTATATTTTCAGTTTAATCAGTCATGTTAGTCAGACACCGTCCTCACATCTGATGGAACAGATAAGCTTTTAACTTAATCAAGCTGTCTGTACAGACTGCATCATGACTCATATTTCATTTCAAAACGTGATTCGATCTTCAGGATGAAGAACTTTCTGATCCTGCTGGGCTGCTCGATGTCGCTGCACAACAGACTAAGCATTTAGGTACACACTACTGAACTGTGAGGAAAAGATTCATTACAGCAGCTTCTTCCATTTCTCAGTATTTGGTGTTCATATGCAGACGTGGACAGGGGCCAGCATGGTACCAGCTGAGCATGCCTGAGAACACATCCTAAAGAGGAAGGTGCTCAGAGGTATGTTGATCAGATACTGAACTGCACAGCTGACTCACATCAAC